CTTTACCTAATTATTATTAAGTATATTAATAGGAATAATCATTTACATAATATATAAAATCTTAATTTAAGACATGAAACCATAATTTTTGTATCCTATACCCAACCTATGCAAATTAAATATTTCCTTTAAATGTGCAAATATTTAATTTTCGAATTCTTCGCCAAGATCACAACACTTCACTTTCTTCTCAGTGCGAAAACTTCCTCAGATAGTCTACGCAAATATGAACTAAGCAAAAAATACATACTGGTTTCCGTCCTTTTCTTCAATTTACTGGCTGATTTCCCCATTTTCCCAGATGAATAAACACACCAATACACATTTCACGTTTTACACCAACATGTTTCACTTTTCCTGGTTGCACGCTTTTATCTTTAAAAGCGAACGATTAGATAATAAATAATGCTTCACTTATATTCAATCCAACACGCGGATAATTGCAAATTACAATCGTGACATATTTAAGTCGCGACAAGTCGACCACCTACAACTATGTGATGTTTATTATAAACAAATCGCCACCAACACTCGAGATATAGAGATTTTGCTCACGTAATGCGACCAAGTCGCGGCCTGTTTATGATGCAGTTAGATACATGTCGGGATTAAGATGCGATGGGACTGTTTTGGGCGGAGGAAGTATTGTGTTTCAAGACGAAATCTTCATTTTCTTTGCTTAAAACAGACCGGAAGACCAGCCTGTCCCGCCTTGACACTGGACACATGGGGTTGTGCACAATTACGAGAACAGTGGGAGGGACACCAGGCATTTATCTTTTGCATTTTTCAAATTGTGACATCAATACCCAGTGTTCTATCTATAAAGTTCTTAATAAATCACCACTGTTAAATCTATGCTCGATAATTCTGGAACAGCTTATATACTCTGAATAAAAATTCCCGGAAATTGAAACGCATATCTTTGCAGTTTCGTGGTCATTCGGGACAAGTGTTACAATTCTGCAAAATATTGGATACTTTTTCTTCAAAGAGTTGGTTTGCAAATCAAAATTTGAAAAATCTGCTCCTAGTTGTGGTTGAGCTACCTACTGAGGCGCCAAGCATTCAATTCTTGAATAAGTGCCCCCATTGTTGTGAGAAATGCCGGCTTTTAAAGTTCATAAAAAGCGACACTTTCAGGTATTATTTGAGTCAAGGTAAAGGCACATATGGCACTAGGAAATTTGAAAAATTCAATGAATCATGAGAAAAATTTCGTAATTTCAATTTATCCTGTGATGTGGTTGCAAAGTTAGATAAGTCGTGAAAGACAAATTCATTCAAGTATCAATATATTCAAATTGTGTTGTCTCATGCCCTTGCTCTTGCCCACTGCTTTTGATACCATGATATTGTGTGGGTGGAGATGTTACATGCTAATTTTTTCATTTAAAATAATGGGCGTAAATTCACATTGTTACATCATAAATAGGTGTTGAGATGACAGGAATTTATTTTAAAGCGATGCTCTCAGATTTCAATTATTGTAATCGATTCGTAAAGAACAAATAATTGGCAGCTTATTGAAATAATAGATGGTGATCACATAAATTAATTGGTTGCGATTGAGTAGCCAAAATAAAAAAATAATTAAAAAACATATTCCAAAACACCCAACTGTCTAAGATTGTTAAATTGTGCCATATGTCACACTGGGAGCTATTTTAAGAGCCATATTTTAGTTGTGCATCATTTAACACAAAGAAAGAACAGTTCACGAACCTGGAAACGGATTTACTAGTTATTATGAATTGTGAAACTTTGTTAACGAAACAAAAATTCTATCGAATGTAAATTGGTGAATCAATATCTCTAACTGCTGTTGAAATAATTTGACATTGATGTGTTTACACGTTGAAGGAATTGTAAATGTGTCGTTTATACCGAGCTTTAGACGCTTTTAATGTAAAATAAGCGTCATTACAATAAATGAATAACAAATTATTTATTTATTTGAAAATGTGGAGCAAATCAAATTGTCTTGTGGAAAAATTGTCGGAAATGGGAACAGAATGAATCGTATATTTACAAAAAGATTAAGATGAATATACATTAATAAATCTGATAAGTCATCTCATTTCAAGAATAATTACGTTACGTGTTAATAATTCATTGACGTAACAATATGTAAACACTCTATTTAAATTTAAAATTTTCAGAATTGATAGCACCACTTGTGTAATCTAACTGTTAATTGATTTTGAACATTGTGAAATGTATGATATTCCCGCCGTAATTCATTAAAAACTGCTTCATATTCAGGTTCTAAAAATTAAAATTTTAATAATTTCCTGCTTTATACACAGAGAAAACTAATTATTATTGGAGATCGTGTTCTATAAAGTAAGAAAATTAACATCGAATTTTAAATTCCTGGTTTAATAGATCATCCGGCTTTAAAACCTGAGATGATTGGTTTTTTGACCTTTGTAATTTTTGATCCTTAAAGAGGATCTGTTACATTTTGTGTTATTTTTGGACATTCATCTCGCTTGAACCGGTTTCGGGTTACAAGGTATCACAATTGAATAAATTTTGTTTATTTTACCGAAAAATACGTAAACAAGATTTGTTGTTGTTGTAAACATCACATTTAGTCGAGGTGGTGGTCACGTTTTGAGATTATTCACTAGGAAACAAATTTGTCACTTCACTTTAATGAAAAATCGAAAGTCGCGCACCGACAACCGATCTATTGGCGAACATTGTTAAAACTACTGAAGTTTACAACTTGCAACATGATGGCAATAAACAAGCTATAATACGAGTACGGCTACGTCAACAAGGACGCATATTAATGAAAAGTCCCCGTCAGATTTTCAACATTTACCGACTTTGTTCGTGAGCCGTTTGTGTGTGGCATACAAAACGCACCGTCGTCTTATCACTGGACACTTATCTACTGCTCCACGGTACACAAACGAAGTAAATAATTTGGGATACCTACCTATCTGGAGATAATAGTGATAAAATCACCGGAACTGTTGTATGTATGTATATGTATTGTATAAAACGATTTGAATAAAATAAAGGATTGCAAAACCATAATTTAAGTTTCAGTGGTTGCACATGCAATAAAACTAAAAGGCTGGATAATTGACAAACACAGAATGTAACAATTAGTTTCTTCAATCCACCTGCTTGCAATCCGGTAAAAAGCAATGTTGTAAGATTATTAGTTGCAAGATTGCGTTGGTGAGACCAGGTGAAGCTTGTGGGCAGCAATAATAGCACAACAGGTAATTGTAGAAGTGCGGTTAATGAGTTTTGAGAATGAATTTCTATGTTTGGTGTGCCTGATATTTATTTTTATAAGCACGACTTTGTGATTTATAAGTTTTATAGAGTTTCCCGCTTTCAAATCCATTTCCCCACTCTATTTTAATAAATTCGTTCAATTAAAATAATTGATACTTAACTTAGTGCATTTTGGAGTTGGTTTGTAACTCGTGTAATAAATAATTCGGGGAACTTGCAAGGGATAGCCAACTCATTGCGTAAAGCCATTCTATTAAGAACAGTCTATAAATTTTCGTAGGCGTTACATTATGTCAGCGCTGGATTGTAGGTATATAAGTGCGGAGCTTTGATTGTTCTAATTAACTTTATCAATAGCAATTGTGCAAAACGAAATTCCAACAGATTGATAAAAAGTAAAGTTGGAATTTGACTCGCCTAAACATATTTCAAAAATTAAATTTTTAATAAAGTGTTGACAAAATAGCAACAATTTGGAGCAGCATTCTGCATATATTTATTTTATTAGTTAATAAGAAGCGGTCAAGGTAAAGTATATTTGTTGTTACTGTAATCGTTTATTTATAAATATGACGATTAAAATTTCATTTTTATTTTTTCTAATCGTTCCTAGAAACAAAGATGTAAAACAAAATAAATCTAGTAATTAGAATAAACGTAACTAATAAGGGTGGGTGTAATTAACCTTTTTCTCGTCTTACTATTGCTAATTAATGTGATTTTTATACAGAAAATATTAATTAAAGCTTGCTAATAGCATATACTTAATTAATTACTTGTTCTCGTGTGTGATATAAGAGACATTTATGCAATGTATGTACAAATAATTAAACACAGTGGGCGTCAATGATTTGCGATTTTGCATTAAAATTTAAAAAAAAATGCCTATGTGATTTTCAGGCTAGACAATAAGAATCATAATATTAACATCAAACTTTACTGCAGCAACAAAGAGAGGAACAAATAGTCCAGGGTAGTAAAGCCAATAAACTTGATATAGTTTTTTTTTAATTTTTACTTCCTTTTTCCTACAAGGAAAGTATTGTAATTGGCTGAAATTTGACCTACCCAGATTTTTACATTTCTGGACGAATTATAGTTTCAAGACACTAAAAAAGTTGGTTAAATTATTGTCGTAAGGATGTTTTCTAAATAAGTAGGATAAGGAAAGTCGTGTAATGTTCACACCAGATTTTTTTTTCAATAGCACGAAAGCGTCAATTTAACATACAAAAGTATATGCATTTTCGTAAAGAATTTTGTTATTTTAGTGATATAACACAATTAAATGTGATAGTAAAAAGTATAAAATTAAAAAAATATATTGTTTTATTCAACAAAATTTCCAGTTTTTTGTATATCATAATTTTTAGCGCCGCTGCATATATTTTTTGTGCGATTGCTCTCTATTTGATTATTTACCACGTCAGTTTCCACGACAATAAGTTGTATTTACTTGTTGCTATCCCAAACTCGTCGGTAAGTATTTTGTTATAGTTGCTAAGTCGGTAAGCGTTCAAAAATGTTCTAGATCGGCAAAATACTTTGCCGTTCTAGAACATTTTGTAAATATTTCATTAAGGACTTAATGATCTCACACAATTGTCTTCGATCGGTAAAATGTCCTTACCGTTCTTGATSCTTAATATACTATAGTTAAATAAAAATGAATTATTGTATATCATAATATTGTTATTAATGAGGTTTATAACATTCATTTCGATTATACTCGTAAAGCGATTTATAATGCACGATTTTGTCTACAGAGTGATTGAATTGATTGAATAGAATTTTTAATTTTTATTTATTATATAATTTTTTTATCTGAATAAATTTATTAGAATAATGTCCAATTTTAACAAAATTGCAACTGCTATGTCGGATTATAAAAGATTTACAAGGGTGTTACGATTCTAAGAAACCATTTACTAGATAGATAGGCACATAACATGACATTCATCCATTAGAAACCGTTCGATAAAATTATCTAAAATAACATTTTAGAATCTTATAAAAAGTTGATAATTTCACACTGGCATTTTGCAATTCAAATTCAATGTGAAAGAGAAGTGAACAAATACTTCAAACTATTAATGAACAAACTTGTACGACAGGTTTCTTACCTTTGCGTAAATTTAGCTTTGACTTTGAATTAATTGCAGTATTTATATATCACATTCATAAAATTAAATTAACTTTATGTCTATATTTACATGTTTACATGGAGATTCCTCTCCAAACAAGCAGCAAATCGGTCGATTTTTTTTGCTTTGGGGTATTTTATACCAACTGGCAATAAATCAGTTTTGAAAGCTTCGAACGTGTTATTATTGTGAAAAGGTGAACTTTGCATAAGTCATCGACAAGTATAAAACTCGATGAATTTATTAAACTAGAGTGCATATTTTGTCCCATGAATATGCAAATGAGGTTTATGAGTGTGTGCCGCGATTTTGCGGGAAAGGCAAACTTTGCCATCGATGAAAATTTTCAAACAATGTGTTTTGAACATTCTGTTTTGTAGTATCCATGCCTATATCAGGCTAGATGCATGCAAATATCTCGTTATTGTTTCACCACAATCGAAGTTTCGAGGGCAAATCGGTAGCTTGRTGATCTTACCTGATATGGCGATGTCTGGAAGATGGTCGTGATCCGAGGAACTGGAAAAAGCCCACGTGTTTCGTACACCCACGTGACTCCAGATGTYACGCACGCCACTGTCTTCACCACTCCTGCAAAACAAATCACGATTAATTGTTTTGATATAGACGTCGTTTACCTGGCACAGGACCGAAATGAATTATTTATTGATCGGGTGGGCGGCCCGGCCGCTTGCTCAATTTTTTTGTGTAAACTGGCCCATTATGTTAATTGTCTTGCAATTACCGATTATGCAAGTGTGTCACGACGACGGTCACTTTTCGATGCCGCAGGATGACATTTGAAAAAAGCGAGCTTTGAAGACATTTACTGTTTTAACCGTAATGAAGTACAATTTGTTTGAGAGGAATTTTATTAGAATTAATTAAAATATTTCCACTTGAGAATTTATTGAAGTCGTTATTGCAGCTGCAAGGATATGCTAAGGCTGGAACAGGTAGCTAGCAAAAATGCTGAAGCTGCGCGATAAAAGATTCAAGCTTTGATAAGTCGTAAAATATTGTTACGATATTTTCAACTTTTATATGCTGGGAGACAGGAAAGTGTGTTTAATTTTTTTGACTGTAATTATGTAATTAAAGACCTAAGCAGTCGTCTGCAAAAATAAGGCACAGGAACTTAATTGAAATATATATTTAAAAGGCTTCTCAGGATGAAAAAATATTTGATTAAAAATAAAATGAAATAAGAATTAAGTTGTATTAAATTACTTTCAGGAGGCACTTTACTCTTATCAAATTTATATACTTGTTTTACCTAACAAGAAGAAATTATTCTTTTAGCCTACTTTTAGAAAGTATGTTACTGATAGTCATGTTTACATTTAAGTGATTGTTTTGTGTAACTTATCGTTAATAAAAACTACACACACTTATGCTAAAAATTACACAAAGTAAATTTGCTTTAATAGTATTGCAAAAATTAAAATAATACTTGTAAATTACAAGAGGAAAGGTTTTTGAAGAACCAGAATTAGGTAAGTTTTTATTTAAAAACTTGTATCTACAATAGTACCTTTTGCAGCGACATTAATTTTAATTAATCACTTACTTATAAAAAATTTATGATGAGCTCTCGAATTTACTATTTTTTTAATAAAAGCAATTGTTTACTATTGCTAGAAATTATTACAATATTTGCTAATGTTAAATTATACGGAGAGGATTATAAAAAACGCCCCAAGCCATAACTTTATTATTTTTAAAGATATGTATGACAATACTTCTTTGATCAAAGTTCAACAGTTTATTGTGAGCAGTTTTTTTTTGGATAGATGCACAATAACAATAAACTGTGCAATTTTGTTCCAAGGAGTATTATCTATTGTCATGTCTTTAAAAATAATGAAGTTATGGCTTGAGGCGGTTTTTTATGTAAAGTACATAAAAGAAAAAGTCATTTAAATGTATTAATTAAAAATATATTTTATTAAAAAAAGATTTACTTTATTTACTTTGGTCAGGACATTTTTGTTGGGTTTACAATTGACATTTTTAGTCATAATTCTTTTTTTTTAATCTATAGTAAGAATTAAATATTTACTACTGGTGCAAACTTACAACACTAAAACTCCAGAATATTTCTTCTACCTGTTAAAACTAGCTTATTATCCTTACACGAGGGTGAGAAAATATCCCTCCCCACAGAACACAATATTTTATTTTTTGTTTAATTTTTTTCATTATTTTTTGTATAAATCATAGCGCCTAGATATAGATCTTAATATTATTGTAACACCATTTTATTGCGGATTTTTTTTAAATTTCACTTTGGTGAATAATTACTACTGGAACTATCGTTATTGATAAACTGCAATAATATTAAGAGCTTTATCTTTTATCTTTATCAATCATTTATGTATTATCAAAATTTAATAAAAATTGAAGGGACTTTGAAGAAAAATTTCTGAATTTGAAATACAATTCAGAAAATTCATATAAAATACATAAAATACAAACAGTTTTCTTGAATTTGTTAAACGTTTTAATAGATTAAAGTGATAAAATTAGGAGCAGACTTTCAAAATGCAGTTTGTCCATGTATTTATGAATTGAGATAAAGGTTTTTTTGTAAAATGCCTAAGTACTCCAGCCGTAAAATTAGTGTCCAATTGTGTTTAATGTGTACATATTTTTTCACATTTATTGCGACTGATATAAAAAATTTAAATTATTTTTTAAAAGAAGKACAGTTTTTGCTCTCTCCTGCAAAAATGCAAATTTGCACAAACTGCTTTTTGAAAGTCTGCTCCTCAAATAGTATTTAATATAATACGACGTGTATTGCCTTACATGACATAACTAGTAAAATAAATAGTTTAAGTGTTTATTTACAAAACTTTGKAATGTTATCGTTTTATTCTAGATCTTTTCCGATTTTCTTCTATAATAAATAAAAAATTCTTAAACGATTCTTGGAAAGTTTTACTCGAATACAACCAGGAAATACCTTAAATCTAGATTAGAATATTTTTAAATTTGGTGGTCTGATGATTAAATATTTTATTTACAAATACAGAAACCAAAAAAAGCAAATGGCTTAAGGACTAATTATTTTATTTATGTTATCTGTGTCAATAGCCGGCGTTAAAATTTAATTGGTTTACTTACATTTTAAATTAAACACAAACTGGATCAAATACTCCCATCTCCGAATCAATATTCATCACGATATGACATTAGAATTCGATGTTACGGTGTTTATCGGCTTGTTTTTTGAATTTTAAATGCACCGTAAAGACTATATACTTTCATAGTTTGCACGCGAATAACAGCTAAGAGGTTAGCCGCGAGCTATCCAGCTAAACACTGACCATACCAAGAAGTAAGAAGAGATGCACCATTGGAGATAATCTTATACAAGGTCGTTTGTACCATGATGAAGAAAATGAAACTTGTAAAGTAATTGTACCGGTCAGCTTCTTTCGATCCTAAAATCGTTTTCAAGGTATTAATGGTATGCGAATGGTTTTTTTACAGGCCACAAAGGATGGGAATATACCATAAAATGATATTTTTATCTGAGGAAGAAGAATGTAATTTTTCGAGAGGATCAGCGTAATTGGTTTGATGATACGCTTGCTTATGCACGAATAATTTATGTTGAGCTCGTATCCCAAGTCTTATTAATGCTGATTTTGACATGCTTCTAATCCTGTGATTACTAGCTGCAGTAATTAATTGAAAGCTTTCAGGTTTCAGGATTTGGGATTTCTACAAGCGATTAGGCTTGATGTTTTCTTATAACTGCAATTTTGTTTATCTTATGTTTTCAAAGATACATGAGCTTATAACAAATAAACAAGAGTTTACGAGCCGTAAAATTTATTGTAAGGTAATGGACCTATCGTCACTTTAATGTCAGTGTAAAAGTCTGAGATGATTAATGATTTGAAGAAAATAGAATTTTGTCTCGGATTTTGAGTTTGTGTGAAAAACAGTAGAGAAGTGTAATGCTACACTACTGGATTAGACAGAAAAAAGTGATGACTAAAGTTAATCTGAAAAGCGTGAAGTATTATTACGTTTGGCCTTACATACTTTGAAATACAAGAATCAAGGTTAAAGTGATATTATCTGTATCAGCACTAGACCATTTGAAATATTTGATAAATGTTTTGAAATTTTACTACGAAACATACATAATGACGTTGCAAAATTTTTAAACAATTATATTAAGGTGTGTGCGAAATTATGGGAAACAACCTGCATAGTTAGTTGGGTCTGTTTTAGATTTAAGAAAATAAGTAGGTTCGTAAATTGAAGTTAAATCGAAAGCTCAAATAGCTGTCTTTGTAAAAGGATGAATAAGTGTTCTAAGTAACAGAAAAACTGGTATTTAAGTTATCATAATAATAACAAAAATATTATAACAAAATAATGAAGTTTTGATATTTAGTTAAGTGTTATAAGATTGTTAGTTAAATCAATAATATTTTAATTCAGAAATAAATAAAATCTTGTAAAAGAAAATTAAAATTTATGTCTTTTCTACATTTTAACAATTTTGCGCCCTCTTATCATGGAAGAGCAAAGCTGGAAATCCAAAGTTCGGAAYATTGAACTAAAGTCTGTAAAAAGAAATATCTACAGCGGTATATTTGAAGTCGTATRAGCAAGCGTTTATAGAGGGAGCTCTCAAACAGAAATCTATTTTATCAATGTGTAAGTATCTCTTTGTAGATGGCAGAATCTTCATAAATATTTGCAAAATTGTATTTATCCACCTATAAATAAATATTTGAAGTTCTGAAGTATTTTTGATTATTATTAATTCAAATGTTAAGCAAATAAAACAGTTATTTATATAACAAAGCAGTAAGTTGTAATTTTTTCACGAATGTGGWGTTTATTCTCTGAGATGAGTCAAGAGGAATATTACAAACAATATTATTGTAATAATTAACTTTAGGGCTAAGGTATACCTTACGTATTTTTTGAAATCGCATTTTTTTAAATAATTACAATATAAAAATTTGAAATAACATTTCACTAACATTACCTACATAAACACACTCACTGAACTAAAATAAAACTAAACGAGGCTCTGAACAAAACTTATATTAAATTATTTATATCATACCTATCACACTAAAAGAGAATTAGTATATTGTTAAATAATGACATATAAGTTTTTAAAAGTACTTTTTTATGGACTATTTTACATTATTTTGAGGAGTACATTTTATAAGCGACAAGTATTTTTTTCTTTACTACTTTTGGTTAATGAACAATAAATTTCTACATTATTTTATATCATATTGGTTATTAAATTTTGAGGTAATTTTATATCTTACCAACGAATAAGAGAAACGTGTGACCAAATTACAGAATTAAAATATTGTTTTCTTAATATTGTATTAAAATATTTATTTTTGTTACAAGTACTTAAAATACAGTTTTTGCGGACAAATCGTTGCTGTTGTAGCAGATGAGTCACAAAAATGTTTTAGGTACGTGTTACAAACAACATTTTTTTGTTAAAGCTTCCAAAAAACAAATTTCCACCTCTAACCAAATTGACTTTTTCGTTCGAAAAAATTGTTTTTAGGAACTGAGTAACTAAAATAACCACTTTACATACTATTTTATGTCTGGAGTCTGGAAAAGATTCATTTTAGGGACTCAAATGAGTCCCTAAAACAGCTGTTTTCAGGAGCGTATACAAAAAACAATAATTAAGTATTTAATTATTGAGAATGTTAGGCCGGTATATTTATATCTTTTTTTATCGATTAGGTTCAATAATAATTATTATGTATTTCATAAAATAAATGCACCATTATACAGGGTGCGCCAGAATTCGCACCCAGAGAAAAATTTCGAGTAAGGTAAGATACCAGGAACATGAAAAAAATGTTTAAAAAATTCTATCTGTCAAAAAATTTTGACATTTATTTTTTTACATTTGACATTTTTTTATATCTATTTAATGATACTGATGATCTTGTATATGTTTTTTTTACAATTATTTAGTAAAGGGACAAAAATTTTGCCAATAAAAGCCACAAATAACATTGAACAGAGTTACAATTTAGGATACAACTTCCTTGTTTCCTCTTTCAATACCCTATAGCAAAAAATCTTGCAAAATTATTTTTCCAAGAGAAATAAATAGAGTCAAAGTGCAAACTTTAAACCCTCATAACTTCGAAATTTTTATAGATAATTTTTTTTAAATTTTTTCCATGTTCCTGGAATCTTACCTTATATGGCATTTTTCTCTGGAGCGCGAGTTCTGGCGCATCCTGTATAGACTTTTTTTTTACAATATTTTTATTTGTTAATTAGACCTTTCCTAGTTGATTATACGTAAAAAAAAACAAAAAACACTTGAAAACAGTAGAAGAAAAATTTTGTATTTTGTTTTACATTAATTTATTTGTAATTAAATAAGTATATAATAATTTGTAATAAATAATTAAATAATTAATTAATTTGGGATATCACCAGAARCGCTTTGTAGTAAATAATCTACTGTCTATGGGTGTTGAGAGTTTCATTCTTGAAAACGTGCAGGGCGGTCCTGAAACGTGAAAAGTGTAAGTAAAGGCGTTCAGGAGTCAAACGGACATGAAAAAATCGTCTGCAATCTTTCAGAATCTTTATATTACGGTTGTTCAGACTTAAACTTATGTTCTGTCAGTGTTTCCTATGCTATGTATTTGTAATGGAAACGCGCTCTGAATTATTTAAATATGTTGATTTTTGCTATAAACATTTTTCAGGGGACAAATAGCCGCCTTAAACAAACTGCAATAACAGACAAGACTTGAATTATTAATAACTCCGCTTAATATCTACTCTCACATAAGGAAACGCTTGATTTTAAAAAAGTGGCAAATATATCGTAAAGCAACTAAAAATAATCAATTCGATTCGAATCCAAGGGGTGCTAAATAAACTCGATAGCTTGGTGTAGAACAGCAGGCGACAGTAAAAGTTAAGACGTTATACATATTGATAGATCAATTGGATTCGAAACGATTACTCGATAAAGACGGCCTCTAGGGGAGCGGTACTCCATTGGGGTGATCCATAGCACGACGGGGYCCCTTCTATACCCAKTTGTATTCCCTTTCCTATTCGGAAAATCTATTACACGGCCTACTGCAATTGCAACGCTGAGTTCATTGAAATATGGAGAAAAGCGGGCGGTGCATAAAATATAGGGAAAATTGCAAGAATACGCTTCAAGTTGTCTGGTTTATCGTTTTTGCAATGATAGTTATGGGTTTACATTGTTTCTATGATTAGTTTCAGAATGATTAATAATAATTTGGGATGAAATCAGTGGTGTTGATTTTTTTGCTTTTAGTGTTATTAAAAAGCAGTGCAGTAAGGAAAATTTTGAAGTTTCGAGATTGCGCGAAGTAAGATAAATAGTCTTCGGTTGTGTGCATGTTTTTATAATGTTTCAATCAGTTTGATGGAAGCTCGCGAGTGAGATATCAGGTTGAGATTTTTTCTTCGAACGATTTAGGAGGAAATAAATGCGAAGTGTTTCACGGTTTGCACGTGTGTATAAAAATAAGAGAAGAAAATAGACACCTACGTCTGTAAAAACATTCAAAATGTATAAAGATGGGGCAAAATGCAAATTGTAATTACGAGCGTGAGGGGGTAAAGGATAAAATTTAACGTCAAGTCGTTAGAAGGCTAGTAAAGAATTAATCAAGCAACATTTTGCGAGTAAAATCATATACATGTTAGTATCTCTAAAATTCTAATTGTCCGCCATAGCCAAGCTTGTTACCAATGAAAACACAAATTCGTATGCAGAATTGCGAAACGCAATTAGTCCGCTGAAGAAATCTACTCATTCGCTTTGTTTAATCGTACATGCCAGGATTTTCCCTCTC